CGAGGTCCAGCCCATGATACTTGTAACAAAAAATTGTGAATAGGCTCTTTCGAAACTAAAGTGCCTCTTATTTGTCATAATTTTTGGGTATATAACTCTTATCTGCTTATGAAAGTTGTAAGCAAATTCATGGCTGATAAGCTAAATTGTATCTTAGAGAATATAAAAAAGAACAAGACCATGAATATAAAACAGCTTCAGTTTTTAGATAGCTTTCAGTATATGGGAATGGAGCTAGATAAATTGGTTGAATGCCTAGAGTGAAAAATTGAAAAATTTCTCCTGTGTTAAATATTTTACTAAAAAGGCTATTTAATAGACAAGTTTAAACTTCTTTTTTGAAAGAGTGTCTTTTTATATAACTGAACAAGTGCATAGGAAAAATTCGACAGAACAAGCCTCCTGTCTAGAGTAAATGGCACAAAAGCCACTAGCATGCCACTATAGCATGCTAATAATAGCATGCTAATAGCATGCCCAAACCCAAACCATCTATAGGCATACTATTTATATAAGAAGAACCAATTCATATAATAATCAACCAATCAAATTATAAATTTCAAAAAATTAGAATTAGTGTTTCAACTGTTTTAATCTGTTCCAACCTTCTTTTTCTATTAGTATTAATGAGAAAAAAGATCAGGTTCTTGAATCTAAGCCTTGCAATATATTACTAGTTCTAGTCAGTGATTCTGGTTTTTATTCAGGTTATATAATCATTAAAGCCTGACTATGATTTATATTTTAACTCTTACTAATAAAATACTTGAATCACTTACATACAAGAGTTTATTAATTTATTACTTTTATGCTTTAGACACATTTATTCTTTCTTATACTTTATAGATTACAGATTTTTATGAAGTCTTTACTAAACTTTTTTTTATTTTTTAAATTTGAATTCTAACAGTTTACTTTAGAATACAAACTTGAAACTATTATAAAAATTTTTATTAATTTTTATTAAGGTAATGTAATATATCTAAATAAAAAAAATTATATTTCTATAAATCTATTCTAACTAGTATTATATTGAAAGAGGATATCATCAACTGACTAATCTTCATTAGTACTATTAGTAGATAATTAAGAATTAATAACTGAATAGTTTTCAATTAAATTCTTTTGATTTCATTCAAGCATTCCAATATTAAAAAATTGTTCTATTGCTAGTTCATTTTCTATTTCAAGGTTCGTTGCCTCAATGTTAATTTGTGAAAATTCTTCATTAAATTCTTCTTCAAAGAGGTCAATGTTGACATTTTCGCTATTTATAGAATCTTCAAATATATTCTGATCATTTGCTTTTGGGGATTTTTTTGGCATTTTAGGTAGTCTCTGTTGAAGATCATGGCGAAGCATCCCGAGCATTCCCATTAAAGCAGGAGACATCCTGTTTCGTAATTTTGTCTTGACTAATCCCAAACTAGAAA